TTGTGTGTAATATAACATTCTAAGCAGAAACTCAATTGTGAAACAAGTATGAGAGGTAGCATTGAAAAATGAAAAGCTGCAAACACAGCCGTGCGATTGTTTAGTAATTTCACCTGAAAAAAATATTTCATGGGCAGTTTATAATGACATCTTACATTTTTATAATGGGTTATTACATAAAACAATCAAATTAGATTATCAGATAGAACAAAAATAACCAACAGAGACTAAACAAAATAAAAAATGAAAGAGAAAACACAAAATGAAAACAGACAAAAAGCAAATTCCTGACATCAGCGTGGGAGTTTATAATGAGGACCAATGTCGTAACATAGTTAAATGTCATTTTAGCCTAATGGTTCTCATTTATGAGACTTGCGTACGGCTAAATCGGAAAAATGTTACACTTTTTGGCATTTATCTGGAAGTGAGCGTATGGTACGCACAAATAATAAACCGAGTCGGGGGTGGTGTAAATCACAGAAAGCAAAAAAACCATGCATGAAATTCAAGACTTGGACAACAATAAACATTTCCCACTCTGGCAAAATTATAGGCACCTCCCACTTTACAAATATGCAATTTCACAAAGTTATGTTTGGGCTATGCCGATAGTTTGTGTTGTTAAATAACATGCAAGACTCAAAAGTCTCCCACGAAGGTTTGGATTGTTGTGTAGCACCTACAGTCAGTGCACAACGACAATTGGTTCATGCGGGTCCAAGCAAAGAAGCGAACCACCGTGGAGCAGAGGGCTCTGGGACATGCAGAGGGTACGCTCTGGTACCTCCTGGTACAAGTGTGCCACATGGTCCTGGCTCGGCTCTCCGCTACATGACCACAGTGTGCACTGGAGCAGCCCATGGATGAGAGACATGGCCAGCTCCATTTTAAAATAATAATCACATAAATAGTTTGAAGATAATTTTATTTAATATTGTATTTTGGATGCTATGGCGGTCCTCCCCCTGGGCTGCTGAGCACTTCTTTTATCGCTCCATTGTTTTTCACCTGTAGCATAAATTAATGCATTCTAACTATTGGCCAAATATATCTGTCAACTGTTGGACATAATATGGTGCATATTTCTTCTTAAACACACATGAATAAACTCACCTCTTCAGGAGTGGCTTAGTTTTAATAAATAAAAAAACACCCCATCAACTCAACATATAGATTTTATTTTATTTAAAATAAAGAGAAAAATCACAAAAGTGTAAAATTAGCAGTACACGTCAGGCCCACAACAACAATACAATATCATCAGAGAACATTGTTATTTTAGACCATTCAGAATCAAGTAATGGACCGGCAATTTTCATTTAGTGGAACCTGTTAAAGCAGGAAGACTTCAGCTTATTTACAGATTCATGCACCTTACATACAAACCCATTATGAAGAATATAACAGATATTATCTCAAAGTCTTTCGATACAAAGGCAAATACAAAGCTATCAACCCTAAATCCACATACATATACAGATATTTAGATATGTTTATTGATAAGGTTGTTTCAGTGAGATATTTTGTCTTCAAATGATTCAAAACACGGATACAGCCCGGACAAGCAGGCACAGAAATGCTTAGTAGTAATTCTATACAGGAAAAACTCTGAAAATTAGAATATCTTTAAATATATATATATATATATAAATCAATTTACAATGAGAAACCAAGATGTGATATTGACTCATTACATTCAATGTGACAAATGCCAAAACATTTTTAGAATAACTTTGATGATTATGGTTCACAGTCCATTTAAAAAAAGTTGTTATGCTATATCTCTCTTTGTGTGTAATGAGTCTGGAATATAATAGTTCAATTGATTTACAAAGGTAAATGGACTTTTGAACAATATTTAGATTTTCAGAGTTTCTTCTGTGGGATTAGCTGCTCGTGCATCCAAACTGATATGTACAATTCAGTCTATGCATGTACACCACATACTTAAGTTATAAGTTATATCACTGTCCACCACCCCACGGTACAAATGTAGTAATAGACATTCTATCATATGCACCAGTAGTGAAAATATTGTAACAGCTCAGTCAACTTTCAAAGTAAAAAAATAAATGAATAGAAGTAATGATGCCCATTCTGATGATGCTATTCCCCGAGTCATTTTAAACCAGTGCTACGAGTGAATTAAGCAAAACACTGTTGGACTTCCCACTAGAAACTTGTGCATATGTCCAGGCCTCTGCTGCACAGAACAGAACACGTTTATCTGACCTGAAAAAACAGGCTGCTGCAATATATATACTACAGTACCCAAATACAAAACAATACCAAGAGAGCACAAAGTCACTCATGTTCAGCAGTGGCCAAAAACGACACACACTTTTTGACACCATCTCGTGCAAATAAGATTCGGCACACACTGGTTCACGTGTATACACAGTAAGGCTTTAGGGTTTTTATACTTTCATGCAAACAGCAAAGTCTGTGAAAGCTGTGAGATCCCCACACGGACACCTGGTCTCCCATGATCCTCCACTGCCGGACCTATTAAACCCAGTGTTGCATACAGTGAAGACGACCTCTGTTTACGTGAATGGCATATTTATTCTGGAACGCAGTCGTAATTAGCAGCTACAAATAACTGTGTTGCATGCACAGACCCACAAGGGCAACGAGTGCCAGTTTTTTACCAAGACTGCAAAATACATTCCAACAGTTACAACATTGGCATTAATGACTATTATTGTCCTCATTATCATTGTTCATATTAAAACATATATTGCATGCCCATTCAACATAAATGTATAGTTTGTTTTAGATGTATAATACAATTTGTTGTGACCTCAGCACAGGGGATATGTTATCACCAGGGTTGGTCAGTCTGTATTCAAGAGAACTCAGAGAGCGTATTTTTAACCATATTTGGAAATAGAAAAGACCAAATGATCTCATGTTGGACGTGATCCTGATTTCCATCTGGATCCAGGAACGGTAAAGAAGAGAACTCTTGGTGGAGGTCTGTGCTCTACGAGTGCTTTTCTAGCAAGGCCTTTTTGTCTCACGGCCACAAAATTGCACACACTTGTTTTTCCTAGTGGTTTTTTCTTAACAACAGGAAAAAAAGGAAACACAGGAATCAAGCATTTGTGGAATGTTTAAAGCTCATCATTGGCATCTGTGACTTTATATTCATGACGGTTTTTATTATTCAAATAATGACTTTTATTGAATATGAGTAGAGATATTATTTAACATATTTCTATGAACGAAGTGAGTAAAGCTGCTTGGATTGAAATAAAATTGGACCAAAGGCAAAGAGTCTTTGTATTGTAGACTGCTGGGCTGCATAAAATTAACTTTTTTACTTTTAATTATTACTTATTGCACTTAGAATTCAATGTTTATGGTAATATAAATGTCATGTTGGTTTTCTGTATCAAATTAGCTTTAAAAGGGTGTAGTACATGCCATTATAGCCCAGACTTAGAACAGGTCCTGACATTGAACTTGGATATCCACAAGGGGGTCGCAAAATACCTTTTCACGGGCCGCAAATGGCCCGCAGGCCGCCTGTTTAAGACCCCTCATTAAAACTAAAACACGCACATGAGGTTATTTTGAGGTTCTAAAAAAAGAGCATTACAACTGTAAACGGGTGCAGCCTGTGTTAAAGGTCTGTTTGATTGAAGCTGGAAAACCTGCTGTTTCAAAAATGCATTTTGTTTGTCCAAAGAAAACATCTTGTTTAGTAACATTGAGGAAACAAATCACTCCACGATGCTGCAATAGTCATATTAGAACTTTCTTTTGTGAATTGAGAGCTGAGAGAGGGCAGTTTTTTACTGAAAAAAGATAAACATGACTGATAAAGATGTGACAGAGGCCAAAAACATGGATATGACCAAACTGTCTTAGAGCTTGGAACTAGTTACATAAATGTATTTAAATGTGTGAAGTTGTGTGTAAGTTTGTTACCCCAGCTTTAAAAGTCACTGTGCCATAACATCTGATCACATCGTGTTTATCTTTTGAAGACGATAAACCTGTAAGATCAGAGCTGCTGTTGCCTTTACAATACTTCCTGCATTTGAATGTGTGTGTTGGTGCTTCTCGTGACGCCTTATTTGTCCACAGCTCCTTGTTGTAAACCATGGCAACAAAAATCAAAGGGTCATTTGCACATCCGGATAGAGCTACTCGAAAGCCCACAAAGCATCTTTGTCCGGGGTCTTACGTTCAGCTCCTGTATGTTTATCAAACATAACTGTGACGCACTGTAGAGCACACAACAGCTCCGTTACGAGCTTGGGAGATACAAAATGTTCAGTATGTCTTCTCCAATTAAACTGGGGCTACTGTTAAAAACATCTACAGGTGAAACTCAATTCGAATATTGTTTTTTGATTTCTGTTTCTCTACTTTGAATGTTAAACAAATATTACATAAACGTATTACTTGCGAAGTGAAGTATACCAAGCCTTTGTTGTATAATGTTGATGATAAAGGCTTACAGTATACTTTCAAAATATACTAATTTTCTGAGATATTTAATTTGGAGTTTTTACAAGCTGTGAGACATAATTATCAGCATTAAAAAAATGTAGTGACTTTTAATAAACCAGAAAAGTCCCAGTGAGATTTCTGAATCTCTTTTTCAGGGGAATCCCAGGTCCAGAGAGAGGGGGCCAGGGCTATTGTACACATGTTTAGCAACAGGGGAAACCGGAACACCTGGAAGACCCATGGGCACCCGGCGGAAACCTTTGCAGACTCCACTTGAAAATGCCCCGTCTGGAGAATTGATCTCCGGACCTTCTTTCTGAGAAGCGATAACAAGGCTTGATATATCTCAGTTTCCATGTGATGTTTCTGTCACATGTTAGTTTTATATTGTATACTGAAGTGGACTTTTGTTGAATTTTTGGAGTCTCATCTGTATTTCTAATTTCTCAACTTTTTTGTTTTATCAGTGTAGTTTTTCTCCTTCTGCGTACCTTTTATCACCAGTGCATTGATACTAATTCTTTGATTAGGCCTTAAACACATGGCCCTGACACAATCTTGGTCAAAGGCACCTCTCGTTCTCCCAGCAAAGTGTCTCTCTTGAGGCTCGTCCCTTTATTCACCACTTTGAACTTCACGGATAAATTCTTCACTTGAACTGCGCTTATCGAGTCGAAGAAGAAGTCCTCCTTGAACACAGGGTTGCGGCTGTTCTTGATGATGTTGCTCCTTTGCTTCTGCAGTTTCCCGGGGTTCAAATACACCGAAACGCAACAGTGAATACTCTTGATGTCAAAATGCTTGTCGTAGAGATTTTCAGCGGCCATAACACGAATCAACAGGCGGGATGTGCTGGTGTCATAGTTGGCGCTGATTCTCACAGTGCCCCCCTTGTGTAGATTAATGACATGCTCTTTTTGCAGGCCGTGATCAGAAGTAGCATGCAAAGAGGGGACATGAAGCCGCCGTTGAATATTGGGGCTCGGTTCTGCTGAGCTGCATTCGTCGGTGGACAGTGAGCTGTGACGGGCAAATGTCCTCTTTGCTTTCACCACTTTTGCTTGAGTTTCATGGGTGAAAATCTTGAGCAAAGAGGCTGATCTGGACAACAGGGGGGAGCTAAATGGGGAGGACTCGGCTGAAGAGCAGGTGTCACTCTCTCCACCACTAAAGTAGCGATATGGATTCATATGGGATGGGTTACAGTCCGCTGGGTTCAGATGATTTCCTCCTTCACTGCCTTTTCCCTGCGTTTTCCTCGAAGTATTGGGCGATGTGATTGGACTTGTAACCTCGCAGTGGAATAGGGATTCTTTACGGCGCGTGTGAGGACTCTCCTTTAATGTGGTGAAGCCGTAAGATGTCTGGGTTTTGGGAACATAAGATAACGACATGGCTGTTTGGGACTGAGGATCAGCATTTGTGTCCCCAGCCACCACGTCATCTGCACTTTCGATCTGTATAATGTGGCGGTTAGCAGCTCTCAGCAGGTTTTTAGTGTCTCCTGCCAGCTTAGCAATCAGTCTAGGGCTGCGGGGGCTGCTGATCTTTCTCCCACTGCCAGCCGGTTGTTCCGAAGTAGAAGGCTGTATCCCCTCTTTTGGTTTGTACATGTCTGGCTCTGGTGGGCAACTGATGAGCTTTGGGGGGATGAAAAAGTCAGGGATTTTGTCTGGTGTGAGGACATTGGAATATGCAGGGGCCACCACATTTCTCTTGTCTCCATTTTCCCCCTGTCGCAGCCCACTGGTCTCAACAGAGCCGCGGAGCTTATCCAGAACCCACATGGCCCCAGCACACAGGGCTGGTGGTGTGGGCTGGTGGAGTCAGTCTGGAGATTCTGGAATAAATCAGATGAAAAAGTACAATAGAAAAAAGTGTGGACAAAATTGCTCAGTGTGTATATTAGAGATTAGTCACAAAACCTATGCTCAAAAATAATATTAAAGAAAGTGTAACGTTTTTGTATAGTTGGCAGAGTGGAACTGTGCCAGAACAGCCATGAATGCCACAGACCTGTTTCCCAGTGTTTTATTCACACTGCTCATCAGAATCTCCCAGAGAGTATAGACTCGGCAGCGAGTAAGATATGATAAAGTTAAGTAATCAGATAAACATGAATCAAAAAGTTTTAACACACGAGTACAACACAACACTAAGACTAAATGTGTCAACTTGGCTAAACATATGCGTACATGGCTTAGAAGTGCCTGTAGGAGAAATTACGCACAACTGCTCTAGATATAAGCGCTTTTCACCAAAAATAGCGCCGCTTCTTTTCTGATAATAGAATTCACGCAGCCAAAGTTGTTCTTACCAGTTAAAGTGCCTTTTCCAGTCGCTCCGTGATCAACAGGTTCTTCTCCCTGAGTGGACCGTGCGCTGTGGCGCAGCTCCGCGCCCTGGGTCTCTGCGCCTCTCTCTGCGCCTCTCTGCGATTTATACGCGATGACGACCGTCGCTGACCAATCACACCCCGTGTGCACCATGGACCTGTTAATAATAGTGCTCACGGCGGCTCCGGTGCTTATCAGCGTCTCAAAGGCTGCAGCAGCACTGGCACAGGCACTGGCTCCATGGCACTATGAAGTATTATTATAACGCCATACTCAGGTTAGTGGCCGTATGGAACATGCTGTATCAAAATATGTAATGAAAGATGCAAAATAAATCAAAAGTAATTCAAAAATGTGTAATATGCTTAGCCAAATAAGACAGATTTCAACCTCAAACTTAAACATTGCCAGGGATGTGGTTTGTCTTCCAAGCTCCACTGTTCCTATTTTTTGCCGCATAATTCTGAAAAGCTGCGTTCCCCTCGAGTCCGAGTTGGTTCATATTAAATATATCACAGATGTACAAAGGTGCGAGGCCATAGAGAGACCTGTGCACAAGCAGAGCTGCTAAAGTCTATTCTCTGAGCCACAGGAATCCTTTATTTGTTCCACAGTGGGGTTATTTCAGTGTTGCATCACAAGTTACAGACAGTAGGAATGAATCTCTGTATTTAGCATAATAAGAAGCAAGTAAAATACAGAGTATACGTATCTACTGAAAGTAATATATAGTTGTATGTATACATCTGACTGTACATGTCTGTTAGCAGCATGAGAGTTTGGGACTAAGTATAGTGGCACATGTGGTTCTATGTTGCAACCTTTACCTTGGATGGAGCCAATTATCACCACCGTGACTGTCCTGGCTCCACCTTCAGGCAAGATACTTTCTTTCATTTGTTTCTTATTTTCTTTTTAATCCTTTGTTTATCCAAATCCAATCCAGACAGTAAGGTCATAACTCACACAACACCACCATGACGTAGGTCCACTGCCCCTCTACACCACCAGCCACCACCACAGCATCCCCCGCCATGACACAGAACCAGCCTAAGAGACAGCAATCCTATTCTACACTCAGCACACCAACTTATGAAATATTAAATGTTCTCTATACAGACATATATACACAAAAGCATATGAGGGAGGAAGCGGGCGTCACGCTACGTCTCTACTCAGCACTTATTACGGCCTAATTCAAACACATAATGAATCAGTGAGGCTCACGTTTTCATTAAAGTACAGAATTTAATACAACTTGTATGTAGTAATACGCATTTTTATAACGCATTCGAAATAAATCTGGTATAGCTTCTTTAACTGGACATAAATCAGATAAAAAGACAAATTTGAACAAATTAATAAAAACATAAGGAGCTCTGTATAAACTACTGGAGGGACACGCAGAAGTGTGAGAGCTCAGGAGGTAAAGTCGGACGACACCAGACATAGTTCAACAGAAACGAGTCAAAGACCGAGGACATGGAAGACCTCCGCACAGTCTCACCTGCACCACAGAGGCACAGATGAACCTCAGCACAGGCGCATCTGCACCACCAAAGGCGGGCAGAACGACCTCAGCACAGTCTACACCTGCACCACCAGGGGGCAAAGAAGGACCTCAGAACAGGTCAGCACTGCACCATCAGGGGCGACAGCAAGAGGTCCGCGAGGAACTTCTACCCAACGTGCGAGCAGACGAATCAATGGTGGTTTTTGTTCGAAAGAGACAGATGTAACAGTGCAATAATACCACAACCATTGAATGAGACCAGAGAGAGAACCAGAATGACCCATAGAGAGCAGAAAGATGAGAGAGACCGGAGGGCAGACCAGCTGGGTGAAGCACACAGAAATATTGTTTATAGTTTAGTTCAGTATAAGATCACATTCAAGAAACCAAAACTTCACCCAAACTAGTATCCTTCAACAGAGACCAGTACAAGAAACGGTAGAAGAGTAACTGTGTCCATCTCAATAGACCGTAATCAATCAAATCCATTTAGAATCTATATTCTCTAGCCTCAATCCTGATCACAGACCCTTCGTCCCTTTCGGAGCAGATCCGACCCCTCAATGTGGGCCTCCCAGAGGTTTTCTCACTTTTCTCACCACCAGTCTTAAGAGTTGCTCGTCTAATGCAGAAGGCTCTAAGGGCATTGTCTTCTTCCCATCAAGGACCAATGTCTCCTGTGTTTGTTATTAAAATTTAAATATCCCCTGTGTTTGAACTGTTTGATTCGCCAATTTGTGTTTGGTGAAATTGACATCTTTGTTAAGTCCCAAAGATAAGTACTGTTTCTCAGGGACGTGCATTCAGGGGAGGCAGGAGGCAGAGCCTCACCTGCAATTAATTGAAACTAATAATCAAAAAAAAAAAAAAAAAAAAAAAATAGTTTTAGTTTAAATCGATAAATTTAAAATCCCACTGTCCTATGCTTAAAGGTAATAATTCGGCACGGTTCCCATCAGTTTTGATCATTTCTGAAGTCAAAAATCGCCGAAATCCCGTTTATTCCTATTCAAAGAGACGAGTTGAGGCAGCGCACCTGCGTGCCTCACGCCCAGACAGCTCCTCACCAGTGTGTTGTGTGTGTCTGAGTGAATCAGCTCGTGCAGTTGATATATCACCGTTTGTTTCAAATATCCTGCTTAAAAACATTTTTTAAACTCCTCATAGTGTTTAGTAGTGTAATGCACTATTGTGTACAATTTTATTTTAGTTTAAGTCTTTTGATCGATAGATGACCCACAAGGAAAAAGCTTGGCGTGAGGCAGGTCGGTATCTGTGCCTCACCAGCTAGGGGTGATAGTGAGCCATAAAGATCATACCAGAGTTTGCTAACAAACAATCACCACAAAATGCATTTCTTTGCTGGAAAATGGATGAATTGAATGAAGATTTTTTTTCTCAATGGACTTTCCAAACAAAGAAAGAATTAATATAGACTGGAGACCACCACGGACTACGAGGTAAGTCCGTGCAGCGGGGAGGAGTTTGTTTAATCGTGTTTTATGATTGAACAGTGACAGATACCGGCAAGTAGTGCTTTTACCGAAAACACTGATTCACAACTGCTCAAGATTTTCAGCAACTTGTTTAAATTATTGTTTAAGTTCTCGCGTCTCTCTCACCTCGCGTCTCCGTCTCTCTCTGCTCCTCGCGTCTCCGTCTCTCTGCTCTCTCTGTCCTCTCTGCTCCTCTCTCCTCGCGACTCACTCTCCTCGCGTCTCCGTCTCTCTCTGCTCCCCGCGTCTCCGTCTCTCTGCTCCTCACTGTCTCTCTCTGCTCCTCCTCCTCGCGTCTTTCTCTCTCCTCGCGTCTCGTCTCTCTCAGCTCCTCGCGCTCCGTCCTCTCTGCTCCTCTCTGTCTCACTCTGCTCCTCTCTCCTCGCGTCTCTCTCTCCGCGCCTCTCTCGCACCTGCGCTCTTAACGATGTTGTTTTTTGATGCAGAGCAGAGTCATGCAGCTAGATTTGTTGTGAGATTATTAAAAGAAGCTGTCTCTTATCTTTACAGTATATAAAGTTTGCTGGATGTCATTGCATTGGTGATTAATGCTATTTTATTGAATAATGATTGTAAATCAGACTTTAAAAGTCAGTGCCACCCAATCACAAACCTCACCGGGCACTACCCTGCTGTTTCTATATCTATTTGTTGTGTTTAGAATTATATAAACAACAGAATAACACCTTGTAGGGAAACTATTGAAAATGGACAAAGCCCTTTATTACATCTAAGAAAGTAAAGAGAGTGTTCATGCAATAGGATCCGACAAGTAATTGGATAATAAAACATGGGGTACCTGACTTTCTATTAAATAATAACTCTGAAATCTCCACCGGAGATCCTTTAAACTCAACAACAATATTAATAATAAAAATGCAGGGTGTATTCATAGCCACTCTCTCAAAAAGCGTCACTCCAACACGACCAAGGTCATAAAATATCTGTAGCCACAGCTGCCCTGGCTCACTGAGATAAGTGAAAGGAAAGTGATCTCATTAAGACAGAACCAATCAATCAAAGATTTTGAAAGATCAGAGTATAACAAAGAATGTTCTGTGATTGTCACATAGGACAAGGGACAGTGGTCAGCAGAGGTCAAACACAGAGGCGTCCAAACTCAGGGTCCTCGTTACTTTTTATCTAACATTCTGAGTTCAGAGCCAAAACCCAAAACACAATAAATGTAACAGATGAGACTGAAGTGTTTACTAGAGATCTTCATAATATGGTTTATTTTAACACTAGACTCCCCAGAGATTTAGTTTTAAGCGTAAGACTCCCGTCTGTAGACTCTTGCTCCTCAAACTTTTGACTTTTCCTGTTTTTTTAGCGTAGTTTTTTTCTGTCATTATTTTTTATGAAATATATTTTTTACGTTGTAAATTCTGCATTAAAAAGGCAGAACTAAGTTAATTCTAAAGTAAAACTAATGTCGCCCG